GCCCCCCCCTCTCCCCCCCCCAAAATAAACATCTTTTGTATTTTTTAAGGGATTGAGCAATCCCCCATTTAAGCACCTGAACTCAGCCAGCTTCTCAATGACAACATGCTTTTGAAAAGCAAGTTGTAAAATAGGATTCACCCCAGGTGAGTGAACAGCTGCTTGAAACTGCTTAGCTCGGGCTTCCTTATGTGGTCTTATATGGTTTGCTCATTTACTCTTTAAACAGAATAGACTATAGACATTATTTTGGACTAAGACTGGAGGTAATACCTATTCACCATAGTGTATCCTTGCCCTTTTTTTTGAGGAGGAGTGGGTATAAGATGTTTAATAAGTATAAAATCAGAAGAATGTATATGCATTTTGATTTTAAGGTAAAAGTCATTATAACCAGTTTTAGACCATGAACTAAGCATATTGCAAGTATTTCTGAGTGACAACAGAGTGAGGCTTGATTTTACCTAGTTAAGTGCTGAAGGTGAACATTTGACTTCATTTTAAAAAAGAAAATCGGCTCTCCCTCTTAATGTTGTTATCAAAGTATTACAGTAGTTTTTAATCTTAAACCCAAATTGTGTTTGGCCTAAATTTCATGATAATCTTAATAGAATTTAAGCGCTCTCTCTCTCTCTCTCTCTCTCTCTCTCTCTCTCTCTCTCTCCATGCACACCACCCCCCCCCTTCTCTCCCTAATGAAAAAGGATTGAGTAACACGGGTCCATGAATTTTTATTTTTGAGATTTTAGGCAGTGATTCAACCCTCTGATTACTAGAGTTCCTGCATATGTTAGAACTGATTGAAATTTCAGTGTGTTAGCCTTTTCTCTGTTGGAAAGTCTAATAAATACTGAAAGGACCACAAGACAGGCATACTCAGCATGGGGCCCCAAATCATCCTTACCCCAGATAGCCAAACCATGGGCAATCAAGGCGCCCAGGCAGTGTTTCCCTTTTAAACGGCTGTCTGCATTTCCCCCTCTGTGGTACTGACCCTGCATGTATAGGTTCAGGTTTCCAGTGTTTGAACTTTCTTCCCTTTGTCCTTTCTATTTTCACATGAATGAGAATGCATATTCCCTATAAGGAGTTGTCATCAGTCCTGGAGCACCAGTTCATTTCTGTTCAGGTCCATACAAATTATGATCGCAACGCCTGGAAGGCCTTGTCTCAGGTTTCTACCCACTGAGGTGGTCTTGAAATGCTGCCCCAATTTAGTCTCACTTTTCAAAATTACGAGTAAATGGTTCTCTCCAGATGGTTAGCACAACTTCTCCCTGGAAAATGTTTACTTTGGTGATGACAATATGCCGGGTTCTGTGGGATGCTGATGGTGTAAAGGTGGCAGAGGTGAGAAAGACTGGCCACGCCCTCCTACCAGAGTGCCCGTCCTGGGAACCGGACTCCCTGCCTAGCTTGTCCTTAAATGTCCTGGTAACTTATATTTTCCTTTTTGTTACTCCACTTCACTTAATGGTTTTCTATGTATTGTTGCAGACATCTCAACAGTGAGCATGCGCTGGACGATAGAAGTACAGCTCAATGTAGAGTACAAATGCAGGTTGTACAGCAGTTAGAGCTACAGGTAAAGCCGCGTTTATTTCTAATATTACCTCAGTACCCCTCACCTTCCACATCTCTGTAGCATCCTGTATAATGACTTCCTGTGTGCACATTCTCAAATGGAAATTCCACAGTCTGTTGTCCGATTAATTTTATTATTTCATTACTCTTTGGGGACGCTCAGCCTCAGTTCAGTCTTTGGGACTGATGTGCAAATGTTTCAAGATTCTAAGCAGCATTGTGTGCAGCCAGGTGTCAGTTGCTACCTGATTTTTCTCTCCTCTTCCCTCTCCTCCCTCCCCGCCCCTCCCCTCCCCTCCTCTCTTCTCTTTTCCTCCCTCTCTGCCTCCTGTGTCCTCCAACCCTTGCTCCCCACCCCAACCCTTCTTTCTTCTCCATTAAATTTTCTGGTTATCTGCTGTTAGTGCACATCCCAGAAACTGCTACTGTTACTGGAGTGGAGCTAGGAGGAGCAGAGGGGGAATGAGAATGAAAGCATGTGTATGTTTGGACAGAGAATGAGTGTGAGATCAAGATGGGATAAGTGAGTACACAAAGACACAGTAGAGGCTAGGAATTAGTCTCTATGTGGCCTTGCCCCCTCCCCCCATCACTGAGAATAACCAAGTTCACTGCATAGATCCACACATGTATTCATATATAATGCATATAATGTGCATGCATGTTGCTATATCTATAACATGGCATTCGGAAATGTGTTTGTCTATGTGGAATATATTCTGTGACTAGAGAGAGTAAATTTGTGCAGGTTTTCCTGGAGAATCTCAATTGAGAGAGCTGGGGACATTTTTAATGTGAGTTCAACTTCTGGGTGGAACTTGTTGATGAACCACCATGTTTTAACAGTAATCCCCTTCTTGGTGTAATTAATAGAAAATTAGTTTCTGAAAGTAAAAATTGGGTCAGAAATGGAGATTATTAAAATGTACAGTTGCAAAAGCCTGACCCCACAAACCCCATTTATGCAACTGAGTTCCAGAATGCTTTTGAGTGCCTGATGACTGGGCCGTGTCTTCCTCTGGCTGGTTCAGTGTAGGCAAGAGGTTAGCCGATGAGGGGAAATTAAAACAATGTTGTACATTATACTGGTACCAGCCATCGGAAAACCTATTTTGTATGCAAGACAGCAATGCTGAGATATATGGAGAGCCCTAGGCTAAGTACAGAAGATAATTACATTTGGAATTTTACTGAGTTAAGTCATTTACAGCTTCAAATAGTTGCAGAGAAAAATCAGCCCAAACACTCAAACTTTTTGTTGTGCCTTTTCAGTGCAGAAAGGGTTTTTTAAAAATTAGTTATCATCCTATCTGACATACTGCAATTCTGGAAGGATTTTTTTTTTTTTTTTCTCAAAAGTTACTTTCTCAAGCAAGTTAATATTTTCCATTCAGGCCGCAAATATAAACTCATTAGAACAGTAAGATGCTTGTACAAGCATTGTGCATGTCATAAAATTCCCTCAATTTTGATACCAGGCTTTGGAAGCATGTTTAACATGAGCATATGTGTGGAGACACTAAAAAGAACAGTAGACTTAGCCCATGCCCCAAAATTCATTTAAAACCCAGTAAGCATTTGCAGAAGTAGATTCCACAAAATGAACACTTTAATTCTTACTACCCAAACACCTGTATGTTTATTGGTGGGTGTATTTTTTAAGAGATGCATGTGACTCAAATTTATTTGACATAAAGTTAAATTCTCTTGACAGGCTTAAATAAGTTGTCAGCGTTGTCAGTTTGCCCAGGTATTTCCTCCAGTCCGTATGGCTGAGCACTGGGCCGTTGTTAATTACTTAGGAGCTGAGTATCTATCTACCTTTTTAATCTTTGCTCACTCTTTACAAAGAAGGTCAGGAGAATTAACAGAGTAAGTCCATTGGTCTAGTCAAGCAGTTATCTCCCAGCAGCTCCCCTGATGATTTTTGGTGGGTGTGGCCCAAAAGAAATATAAATGTATAAGAGGAACATTGGACTGTTTGCAGATTTTGTGTGTTCTTAGATTTAGCTTCGTCATTCAGCCTTAACCCAAAGGCACATTTTTCAGGGGATGATAAAAAACAGTTGATCTAGCTGGAAGTCAGTGATGTTGTACAGTTATCTGGGATGTTGATTTAATGTGGTTTTTTGTTAGTTTGTTTGAATTTTTTTTTTTTTTCTTGAGAGTTAACTTGAAATGGGAGAAAGGACAGGCTGATTCTGCTGGTTCTGTTTCTTCTCATCTTGAGACATTGATGTAACTGCTGACATGGTACTTCTTAGAAGTTAGCAATCTGTACACGTCAAGCATGACCTCATATTCTGAGAAAGAGTTTTAAGTGATTGGGGACAAGAAAGAGAAATGCTTCATGAGAGGTGAAAATTGCATGGAGTTCACCTTTTACTGTCTCTACATAAAGTTGTATTGAAACACAGATAGACCAATGCCCATTTACTGATGACCCATGATTGTATGTACTCTACAGCAGGAGAGTCTGGTAACTAACTGTACTAGATCCCCTATGGCCTACAAAGCTGAAAATATTTACTAGATGGCCAAGCAGCCTCTGGTCAAGGGGATAAAAATATTACCCATATTAGCCACATATCCCCTCCGGTTGCTGGCTGTCTAAACTTCTGCTTGCCCTTTGTAACTCTTCCTTCTTAGCCATGGTGTGTAAAACCTGCAGTTCCCAGACTAGTCAGTTCATCCTTGTAGCAGGTTCATAGGACAAATGCTCTCCTACCTTGACAGTCATGAAAAATGACTCAAGGACACTGGTTTATTTGTTCATCTCCTATTCATTTGCTGAACATTACCAAGAACCTGTTTGGAAGCTCTGTAGAACAGTAGTGATTGGAAGGGGTAAGGCTGCCCTGCTGGTTTTTAGATTCTACAAGGAAAATTGGACTATAAAATAGATGACAAATGGGACTGGAGAGATGGCTCAGCAATTAAGAGCATTCACTGCTCTTGCAGAGGATCCAGGTTCTAATCCCAGCACCATATGGCAGTTTACCACTACCTGAAACTCCAGTTTCAGGGGTCTGATGCCCTCTTTTGGCCTCTGCAGGATCCTGTACACTCATGGCACACATAAACTCATGTAGGCACACATATAAACACATATATTTTTTAAAACCTTTAAAAAAAATAGATGACAAGTGGACACTCGCTGGTTCTTGACAGGAATAGAAAGTTCCTTAAAGAGGGTTCCAGTACTAGAAAGGAGCCAGACAAAACCAAACATTACGTAGTAGTTATTATTCAATCAGACAAAAAAAGGTCAACAGTTTATAGTTTGCTTTGTGTCTGTAGTGCTGGGGATTGAACTCAGGGTACTACATAGCCTAGTCAAATGCTCTATCACTGAATTGCATCCCTAGCCCTAGTTTTTAGTGTTTAAAACAGCCCTTGCTCTGAGAGTTCAGAGCAGCTTTTCCCAAAGACCAGATGAAACCGTGTTGGGTTGAAAGTCTAGCACTTTGGGGCACTTTGGGGACAAGGAACAGTTGTGCTTAAAGCTATATTCCTTGTTGGCTTCCTGTTTCTCTAAAGTTTAGCATTTCTTTGTCTTTTTGTCATTATACATACCTGTGTTGGAAATGTACTTTGTTACTTTGTTATGTTTTGAGTTGGGGGCATGGTCTTGCTGTATAGTCCAGGCTGGCCCTGACCTCACTGTGGTCTTACTGCCTCAGCCTCCTGAATCTTGTGATTATAGGCATGCCCCACCACACTTAGCTTGGAAATGTCCCTTTAACTCCCAGTCATGGGGTCACCACCTGAGGTAATGGGGCAGGCAGGTGCCTGCAGTGTAAAACTGCTTTGGGGAGAGAAACAGCCAGCCTCTGTGTTGCTATTTCTTGTGAGCACAGTCTCCCACTCTCCACCTCGGACTGGGGTACCACCTGCTCTAGAATAGCTATACTATGACCAACCCAACAATGAGTTCTTTCCTCTTAAAGATGCATTTCACAATCCATGGAATACCTGAACCTTGATGGTTCTCAAAGTTTATTATAAAATGGCTATCATTAACTTAAGTTTGAGAAATGTTGTAGCACCACACCAAAGAACAGCTAAGGTCTGAACAGTCCCCCAAAGGGTGATGACTACATTAGACTTGCAAATCTTCTGTAGCCTGTCACTGGACTTACTGGCTTTGTGTTGGTAGAGATAGAGGCACACTTTTGCCCCCATTGCAAGAATAAACACAGTGAGCTCACACTGAATCTTAGAGGATGCCTGGATAGCAGCCCCTTTTGTCTAAATTAGTTGATAATAAAAGACTGTAGGAAAATTGGAAGGGTGAGTCAGATCAGGAAGGGACTAAAGGGAGTGGAACCCACTCAAGTGGTGCCCTCTGTGCCTGTGCGGCACCCTTACATCAGAGCCCTAGGGACATACTCTGACCTGGAACAGAAGGCTCTTGTGCATCTTTTCTATCCCTGATGGCTTCCTAAAGCATTGAACCACTGAGATCTTTAGGAAATAGTGACTGGAGACGTTCCTAGGGCTGTCGATGCAATACTCCACCAGAATCAAATGGCGAAGCTTTTAGACCCTCGTGGTCAGATTCCAGACAGGCAGAAATCAAGATGATGGGTGATGGTGTCTCACTCAGACCATCTCATCAGCTCTGTGCAGGAGATCCCTATGTAGGGTAATATGTCTGGATTCATACATATTTTTATGTCCAAATTTTCAAGGACATATCAATTCCAAAAGCAAGGGAGGTGTGTTATTTTTGAAATTTTTGTTGGCAAGTATGAAAGTACATAGTGAGCATTTTCTTTGCACTGCTGAGGAGAGTTGGTTAACTGCATTCGAAAGTTGCTTTTGAACTGGTTGGTCTCACTGAGGGGGAAGAGAGCCAAAAAGTTCTGGGTGGATATTCTGAGCCTTTTTGAACATTTCTTAGTTCACTTTGTTAATAAAAAGCCAGTTAAAATTTCTTGATATTTTTATCAGTGGAGTAGATGGGGGCCAACTCCAGCTACTATCCAGGGGCCCAATGTTTTGAATCCTAAGATGTCAGATGAGCTCTCTATAGTATAGATATAGGTATATAACAGCAAAAGTGGCAGGTATCAAGGAAGTCATTTGGGTCAAGGCCATGATTTTTTTTTTTTTTGAGGTAATGAAATTTTTTTAATTATTTCATCTGTTAAATATTCTCTTTGATTAGATTTTTCTGAATTGATGTATGAAAAGACGAGCTGGATTTGCAGGGGTAAAGGGTTCCCCACCAATATACAGGGTCATATAGTCTTTCTCCACCATACCCCCACTAGGACCCTGGCACCTAGCTCAGGAACTAGGACTGTGTTGGGAGTCAGGATCGCCATGTGGCACAGCCAGAAGAGCCAAGAGCCTGTGGGAGAGCTCAGCATCCACTGTCCTCCAGGCATGGGCTGAGGGGTGTAGATTTATATTATCTTACCTGTGTGAACCAGGTGGGGACACGAGTGTCAGCACTTTCAGCCTTCAAGGTATGGATGAGATAACAGTAAAAAGTAGAGGGGGGTGGGCGGTGTCTTAATTCCACCTTGGGAGAAGGGAAACACTTGTTTATAGACAAGAAGCACATCTGGCAGCATTGAGCTCTCTTAGGAAGGCAGACATGAACGGCATGAGCACATTTTCTTGAGCACATAGATTGGTTTTATCACAAGACATTGCCAGATTATTCACTTTATCCCCTTCCATAGATCATGTCTTTTGAATGAAAGCAAAATCTAGTTTGGAGATGCTGCATTTTCATCATGCACCAGAGGGATGGGGTTTCAGAAGAGGCTTCCTCCATCCCCTCAGATCCTTATGTTGATACCGAAAGCATATGAGCGCTGGGAGTGTAGCTCCGTTGGTAGAATGCTTGCCTCACATGCATAAAGCCCTGAGTTCAATCCCAGTAACCCCATTCCCCAAAATGAAAGGAGGCAACTAAACTGAGGTCAGTTTGCCTCCATTTGAGATACTGGATTACAGGGGTATGTTAGTTTTTTTTCATGCACACAGTCACCACTTACCATGTATTGACTATAGTTGATGCACCGGATAGAGAAAAACCAAGGGCCCCTGCAGTGTCATGCAGTCTGGTAATCTGGTGTGCTGCTAATAACTCAGCAGCCACTTTCTAAGGAAAGTGTTATTCAGGGAACAGTGTTATTCAGGGAACAGTGGCACAGACTGTTGGCAAGGAGGTTCCAGTCCAGGGCAGCCACTTAGGAATGTGCCCAGATTACAGGGAGAAGGAGATGGAGGGTCAGAAGAATGCTTCATCTAGCTATTCAATACCAAATAGAGCGATCAGCCATCTCAGCGGGCTCCCCAGAGTTTGAAGAAATTTCCAGAACCTAGGAGCTCCAGTTTAGAAACTCCTAGGCAAACTAGAATGAACTGGACAGTCCACTGACTGTGGGAAGGATGTGTGAACCATTCCATCCATGCTCTGCTTATAAGAGGTTCATAGAGAGGCCCCCAAATCACTTGAGTGACTATTCATTGCATGGAAGTCACTGTCCTGGGGGCTTTGCATTCAAAATTTATCAGATCCCTCTGGTTGTAGCTGCTAACCTCTTCCCTTGATTCGCAGAGTCACTTTTAAACAGAAAAGTGTAAGGCATGGATATCAAGTCTGTAGGTTATATCTGAGCATGTTTTGTGTAATGTTTCTCCTTGATTCTTTAAAGGTGATTCTCAGTGTGTGAGGATCATAGCCATCATTGGCCTCTGAGAGTGAAAGAGCATTTTCATTGTCCATCCTCCAGATAAGGACACAGATTATTTAGAAGGTCAGGTTAACCTGTCTCAGACCAGTGATGAATGGTCAGAAAAAAAACCTAAGAGCCCCCCGAACCCCCCACAGCCGTAGCATGATCACCCAAACTCCTTTTATTGCTGGTGCTGCCTGTAGTCTTGCCCAAAGGGTCCTCCTGGCCCAATGGAGTTCTGAACTTACCTTCACCCAGGTACCTTTTGATGGTTTTCAAATACGGCCTGTGGGGCTATCTCCCTGCTCACTTTCTGGAGCCAGCTTCCAAGCCATCCTTCCCAGTGACTCTGGGATCAGTCCGAAGTTTTGTAGCTCATCCCCACCAGGAACTGTAAGCTCTAGGAAATGTCAGCAGGGAGAAAAGTGCACAAGTTTCAGTAGCGGGGGAGACATTAATCCTAACACAAATCAATTATGGTATGGGCTTTGCATGTGATTACTCCGCCATTAGCAGGGCTATTTGTAATCACACCAGCTTCCTAGACTTCGGCAAATATATTATCTGTAATTCATCCCCCTTTGGCCCTGTCTAACCCCATTCATGGCTATGCTCAGGACATTTCCTCACAGCAGTGGCCCCACAGAACCTCTTGCCTCTCCCCAAGCAAGCTCAGAGTGTGTCAGGGACAGTGAGGGCCCAGCAGCCTCTAACAGCCACCTCTTTTAGACTGGAGCCAGGGAAAGCAAGAGGGAGCGTCTGGGTTTCTCACTTCCACGTCCTTCTTTGAAAATCAAGACACTGATTTTTCATAATTTAAAATCCTGCCCAACTCTGGGAGCATTAGAATTCCTAGACTATGACTGAGTATTAGTGTGCGTCTGCTTTAAATGTCAAGAGAGTCTTTAATAATAACATGTAAGGAATGTTAAGATGGTGACAGAACACAATAAAAGGAGGGAAATTCTTCAGTTGGGGTGAAATGAGCCGTGGATCGCCCACCACCTGAACGCAGTAGTCAGTGGTAAAGAAATCTTTACAAGTTTTCCCAGTGCTGAATACAGCATATGAGTGGCTATAGACTGGGTCCAGAGTTACTATTTGGTAACTGACCAGGTCAGTAGAAGAGTGTGAGCTGTTCTCCTTCCACTGGCTGCTGCATAGGGTACGTGACTTTTATTTCCAACCCTGGGGGTGTGAATTTGTTCTGCTTTGGTCGTGTGCATGTTAGATGCGCTCTGCATCTGGTTATGTCAAGTCCCCTGTTGGATCATTAATGCATAAGAACTTCCTGAAGAAACACAGACAGCCACCGTTGAAGGCATTATCAGCCCACAGCAGAGTGGTATCTCCCAGACTCGCTTTCACGTGGATGCTCGTGGTCCTTAGGAAAACTCTGACTCCCAGATCCCTCCTGTAGAGCGGTAACTTTGGGAGGCCTGACTGAAACCTCCGGTAGTTTAGTATTGATCATCTTGGGTGCCTGTTGATGCTCTCAATCCCAGGTCCTTTTATGAGTAGGAGTGTTTTGCTTGCATATAAGTATACTCATGCTTGCACTGCCTGCAGAGGCCAGAAGAGGGTGTTGGATTCCCTAGAACTGGAGTTATGAACTATTGTAACCTGCTACGTGGGTGCTGGGAACTACGTGGGTCCTCTGAAAGAGGAGTAAATGCTCTTAATCAGAGAGTCATCTCTCTAGCACCATAAAAATTATTTTTGAGACGCCTTCTTGTATCCCAGGCTTGCCTAAAACTCATTATGTAGCTGATGAAGACCTTAAACTGGTGATCCCCTGCCTCCATCTCCCTAATGCTAGGATTACAGGTGTGTGCCACTGTACCTTGTTAATGAGGTATTGGGGATTGAACCTAGGGCCTTGTGACTTCTAGGCAAGCATTCTACCAACTGAGATCCATCTCTAGCCTCCTAACTCCTTTTTCAGGTCTCTGTGTAGGGACAGGACAGAAGATCTTTGGTGTATAGTATGATTGTCCCAAGTGAGGTTTAACATCAGACTATTGTGAGAAAGTCAGGTTAAGTATCATCAACTAGGATCCTAGGGTCAGGTGTGGTGGTACATGCCTTTTATCCCAGCACTTAGGAGGCAGAGGCAGATAAATCTCTGGGAGTTTGTGGCCAGCCTGGGCTATATAGTGAGTTCCAGGCCAGCCAGAGCTGCACAGTGAGACCTTGTCTCAATAAACAAACAAAAAACCAAAACCCCGAGGAGCCTGGTCTTCTCTCCCTTCTTGGCTCTACAGCCTTATAGGGATTTGTCCTATGTGCTTTGTTTCCCCAACTACAGAGCATTAGAATAGGTCTAGAGGACATGAGAGAACTACAGCAATCTTTATTTCTATTACAGCAGATGAGTGACTTGCCCCTTCTTACCTGTCCCTAATAATTGCAGCAGTTTTACATGTACAAACTCATTCAGTCTGGTGGAGTCTTTTTTTATTTATTTTTTTCCTGATTCCCAAGAACTGCCAGATTGGCCTTGGCCTTAAAATGGTTGGTCTTCCTGACAGCATTTAGAAGGAAGATGTTAAATGAACTCCAAGCCCTATTTCCTTTTCACTGATAAAAGAATACATGGGATCTCCTTGGGTTTCGTCTCTGAAGATGTTAAGTGGAATCTTCTAGCCTTTGGCAGTTGTCAGTAGCATAGAGCGAGAAGTACACAGGTTCTGAGCTTTCACAACCTCACCTGTCTAAGCTCAGTTTGAGGCTTGGCTAATAGAAAGAGAGGAAGGAGGTCAGCCAGAGGGGGAACAAACGTTTGCCCAGGATGAGAGGAAAATACAGTCAGAACCAAAGATAAATCCATCAGAAGTGAGCTTCACCTTTCCTGTGCTTTGGGGTCTGTACCATTCATAAAACATGGAAATTATTTCTCTCCCCACTCGGCCTCATTGCTGAGTCTGTGTGGATCCAGATTCCAAACATATACTCAGCCAGTCTAGACTAGGCCAGTTTAATTTCTTTTTAAATATTCCTTAATCTCCATGAAGCCTTCATTAGTCTCTGCACTGAGCTTGTTCTGTTCAGAACTCATGTTCAGAACAGTCTTTGAGAGTTCAAGATGATTATTTCATATTTAGGAGGAGACAGAAAATGCTCAAAAGGACTACATACAGTGCTCAGAGCCACTAGGTCAGAATTTGAACACAGCACAGTAGGATAATGTATCTGTCCATATCCGTCTCCACTTCCATCCTGCCATCTTTCAAAAGAGGGTTGGAGCCAGTAAGGTGACTCAGCAGGTGAGGGTGCTTGCTGCCAAGCCTAACAACCTTAGTTCAATGCCTGGACGCCATATAGGAGGAGAGAACTGATTCCTGCCATCTGTCCTCCATGTGCCACTGCACACGCATGCTCACATACATACACACACAATAATTAATTTTCTAGAAAATAGTCATTTGGGCTGGAGAGATGGTTTGGGCTCAGTGGCTCAAAGCACTGGTTGTTCTTGCAGACAACCCAAGTTTGGTTCCCAGCACCCACATGGTGGCTATCAACCATCTGTAACTCCAGTTCCAGAACACCTGACACACTCTTCTGGCCTCTGTGGGCATTGTGTGACACAGGTACACAACACACAGGCAAAAACATAGACATAAATTAAAACAATATTTTTAAAGGGTCATTATGAACTTCCTAATTAAAATGGTCACTGCGCAAGAGCTCCCTTTCATAGGAACCTGTCATCTGTCTTTATGCCACTCATCCTTTGCCCATTAAGAAAACTTTAGAGAACAGTTCTCTCTTGATATCACAGCATTTTTTTTTTAATTTGCCAACAAAATTTTTACTTTAGGGGGAGGGAGCTTTTTGAGACAGGGTCTCCCTGTAACCCCAGATGGAACTCGCTTTGGAGTCCAGGCGGGCACATGCCTTTCTCAACCTTCTTTTCTTGGCTTTTGTGAATTTCACAGTTGAAAACTGCTAGGGGTACACTTGCTATTTATAAGATGTTTGTATTCTCATAAGAATGAAAGGATTAGGGCTGGAGATATGGCTCAATGGTTAAGAGCATTGTCTGCTCTTGCAGAGAGCCTGGGTTCTGTTACCAGCACCCACATGGCAGCTACCATCCATCCCTAACTCTGGTTCCAGGGAATCCAGTGCTCTCTTCTGACCTCCATGGGCATTGCACAAAACAGGTGCACTTACACACATGCAGGCAGTACACTCATACACATAAAATAAAAATAGTAAATTAAAAAATAAAGAATGAAATGATGCTGGGAAAATTGATGGGCTCACGAGTTCACTGGAAATGTTCCCAGTGTCAGCGAGCTTCAGGGTGCAGATGTGGCCTGTATACTGTGGGTATGCTTGTCACATACTGTTTGTGCATTTGCTGGTAGAAGGACAGACATGGATGGATATGGGAAGACTGTCCCTCTTGATGGAGATTTTAGATTTTCCCTTTTAGCACACTTCTTATGATTGCTACATCAGAAATATTTACCCCCAAATTAAGCCATAATTCATATTCAATAGACTCTTTAGTAAATATCACCTCCTCCCCTTTCATTTGTGTTCAACATGGCAGACTACTTCTTATTTTTAAAAAGAGTGGCATGCATGCCTTAATTCCTTTCTGCCTCACAACAATTTTTTAAATAAACTTTTTTTAAAGGCATCACAGAGTATTTTGGTTTTAACATCAAAAATCTTAGGATACTTAATGTAGAAAACGAATAACCATAGAAAAATGCTATTCCCAACAATTTAATTGTTCTATCTGAGCCACTTTGAAAACCCAAATTCCTTTAGCATTATGTGTTCAGAGAATCTTAGTTTGGCAGTTCAATAGCATACGGAGGAACAGAGGACGAATAACATAAAGTGGCTCCTAATATGGTATCATTTTCATTTCCTGTTTGTTGAAAGATAAATGCTAATACTGTAAGGCTCCCCCCACCCCCCGCCTCCTCCTCCTAATTTATTCCTCCCTGAACCACAAGGGAATAAAAAGAAAGAAAAACTCAAATGTGATATGGCTCGCGCAACTGAGTCAGCCAGTGAGGACAAGCTGTAAGCTTGTTTTATTCTGCCATCGGAGACACTCTGCTTCTCTACCTCCCCCAATTCCCGACCCCTACCTCCCAAAAGTAACTTTGTTTAAAATGTGGAGTATGTTCAATTTTGGCATAGTTTTACATTTCCAAAATGTTTTCTAAAGATTTAAAGTAAACTGAGTGGCATGGAAGAGCGAGTTGCCCACCCTTGCTCCTAAGACATTATTTTGGACAAATCTATTAAGCTATTAAAGTGCCGAAGTATATATATTCCTTCCCCTCCTGCTTCTACATCTTCCACCAGTGCTACATCTGTTCCCTCAACTGTATTTAGTTTTGGAGGCCGTATTACCCACTATCTTTACAAATAGTAAAATTTTCTTGTAATAACAGTTTTCACTGTATTTAAACCATCCAAAGGAAGCCTAAAGGTTGTAGCATCCAGTAGTACATTACTACATGAGCGCACTGTGTGCAACAAATTAGAAACATCCTTGACATCAGAAAATAGCTTTTTATGGAGTAAAGATACTGGCATTAAGGCTGGAGAGATGGCTCAGTGGTTAAGGACACTGGTTGTTCTTGCAGAAGACCTGGTTTGAATCCCAGCACCCACATGGCAGCTAACAACTGTCCGTAACTCCAGTCCCAGGGTATCCAACGGCCTCTTCTGTCCTCTGCGGGTATTACAGGACATGGGTGCACTTACCTACTTGCAGGCAATACATGCATACACATAAAATAAAAATAACAAATAAAATATTTTTAATAAAAGATATTGGGATTACTAAGAGAGCGCATGGGGAAAGCTCACTCAGATGTTGAATACTGGAAGGACAGAGCTTATTGTTCACCTAAAGATGGGAACTTGTGTGTCCCAGTGTCCCTGCCTCTCTCTGCTAATGCCCCCAGGCAGCACTGCTAAGAAAGTCTCAGCTAACTTTTCACAAATGTATCTGTGTGTCTGGGAGTTTATCCACAACCACCACAACAGATGAGTTTATGAGTGTGAGCTAGCTGCTCTTCTTCCTGTGGCCTCCTCATGAATCAGCCTGGCTAATGGGCATGATTCACGTTTGTCTTTGAGCTGTCCATGTTCCCTACAACTCCTTGGTGCCAGCAGGTCTAGAATGTTCCAGTTAAAGTCTAATGCACCTTGTGTTGAGAAATCTCACACCGATACTTCAAGTTACTTGGATTTTGGCAGGAGTCCTATAAATTTCAAAGATGATGAAGCAATAAAAATGATTCTGTCATATGCTGTAGTGCCGTGGTTACTTGGAGTATCATATAAGTTGGGGTGTTTGTTAAAATAGTCATGCATCTGTATCCAAAGGAATAACAAAGTCTTTTCTTCCCACCAGCTTGCAAAAGACAAAGAGCGCCTGCAAGCCATGATGACCCACCTGCATGTGAAGTCTACAGAACCCAAAGCCGCCCCTCAGCCCGTAAGTACTGCTCCCCTGCAGGGGCACGAATTAAACAAACTGCTAGTCTTTTTCTGCCTCCCACCTCAGAGACTGGGAGAAGAATGGCCCCTGAGGGGAGATGTGAGTGTCAAAGACCTTCGTTTACCTCACTCTGGTTTCCTTTCATAGTGAAGGCGAGGTGCTAGGTTTGTGGGAAGAACCAAGATGGAGCAGACATGGTACTAGACCCACAAGGTCTAAGCAATGATAGCGGTACTCAAATCCTTTCAGAGAACACCCTGGGAAAAGGAATTTATTGTTATGGTAGGAACACCGAGGAGGTAGCCAGACCATTAAGCAGCAGGAGAAAGCAGCTTTTTAATCTGGGTCTACTGGGGGACAGTGGCATGTGAGAAGAGAAGCATAAAATCACCGTGCCTGATTGTAACAGGAAAAAGAAAGGGAACACACTGTGAGAAGCCAGATTACAGCGACCATGGAATGTTTCCTAAGGACCCTGAAGTGGAAATGACTTTCCCAGGGAGAAAACTGGACACAGTATACTGAGATTACGTCTGATTTTCAGGAGGTTCCTGATGCTTGCCTTGTTCCATTTAACTGGGCCTTGAAGCTTGTCACTCCAGCACAGGCAGTTAAGAGCTCAACAGAGGTTTGGTATCTAAGCCAAGCATCCTTCCTTGGACCTCGTTCTTTGTCTTAAACAGATATCTTTCAGCAGTGGTATCATTCACATCCTTCATTTCTAGAAAGCTCCTCCTAGCTGTAGCTGATTATTCAAAATGGAGGCAGTGCCTTGCTTCCTGATTTTAAGATTTGTAAAATTTAAAGGTACACTGCCTTTATTTGATTTTGCGGGGAGTCACTGTGTGAAAATTAATTGAGCGTTGACAATCTATAGTTAGCAGCAGCAATTTTAATCAACACGCAATGGTGCAGCGTAATGGCAAAGTATTGGTTTATCTGTTTTGACTGGTTTTTTTCTATAAATAAAGCAAACATACACCCCTATATGTATGATGTATGGTGATAGAAATAAAACGGAGTCAGACTATTAACCCAGCAAATATGGTAGCCTGCCAAGATGCAGTTGGCAGACAGAATTAATGTCTGAAGCAGAACACATTACTGAGATACAGGACATAAAATCATTAAACACCCCATGCATCCATTTTTACTAGGAAAGAATCTTTAGTTTCCATGTATTTCATAGTAAATGGCTGCAGGACTGGAGGAGTAGGCTACCAAAAGAGAAGGGGAGGGGGTGGGCATGGAGAACCAAAGCCATTCGGTGCTGTTCCCACCTGTCCCTTCTTTTCAGAAGCACACCGGGAAAAACATGAACCTAGCTGAGCACACTCGTGCTATCCTGAAATCATTTGACTGGCTTCCAGAAGAGTCATGGCCAGTGGCACATATGGGGTGGCCACCGTGGACCTCTCTGGAAGTCATCAGATGGCTTTAGTGAATACTTTCTTCTGGGTCTGAATCTACACCTAGCAACAAGGGAGAGAATGAGTTTACCCCTCTTCCTCCATGGATTAAAACCAGCAATGATAGAATCATTGCATGCAGTGCTCTAATAACCGCCTTGTTTTGGATCAAGGAGGAGGAGGAATCCACATAAAGAGATGGAACTGCAGAGCCCTGTAGGGTGCTCAGCAGGTGATGGGGCTGGGGGCTTGCCTGGAGCACCATATATGTAGGCCCACATGAGCACAAGAGGACCCTTGAGAGTCTCCATGTGGACCAGTGCTAAGCAGCCGATAAACAAGAGAAAAACAACTGGGTAGGGGTGCGGGGGGGGCACTGAACAGTGAAGGAAGGTTTGTCTTGATTAGTATTGAAAAAAATGTTTTACATTCCAGAAAATTATAACTTTGAAGGGGACCTCCTACTAAATTTATTTTTAACTGCTCTATTGAAAATTCTCTACCACTAGTCAACATTATCTCTTAGTAGCTCAGCACAGTATTTCTTTATTAAAAGAAATAGGCACGAATATTTTTGACTGAAAAATTAATAGCTTTTGAATTCATACACAGCAGGTTTTCTTTTGCAAAGAAGTCCAATATCGCTGCACAGCACTTCTATAACCATTTATTTAGAGTCCAAGTCAAACCTTTGACAGCTAGAGCAGCGCTACAAGCCAATATAAAGGACTCCAAGATGTAAACCAACAATAGGCTGTCTGTGTGAGGTTTGCCATTGTCAAATACATAGATTGTTTGGATTAGTTTATGTAAATGTACTGTTGTATTACCCTTTGAAAAAAAAAAGATCACATTTGTGTATGAAAAGTGGTTCCCCTCACAGGCAGCATTATAAATTCCTTACCCTTTAACTTACATGTAAGAAGTAAAAATTGGTGCCTGACAAGTAGATATTGTGTGACACTCTGTTGTCGGAGTGAACCTGCCTTCTATTCATTTATTGGAAAATAGAAAATTTTATTATAGATACCATCTTATAAATCAGGAATTATTAAAATATGTATAGGTGAGGCATTGGAAAATTAATTATAAAAGATAGACGTGTAATGTTTTGCATAAATTTTCATGTCCTTGCCAAAAAAAGAAAGCCCCGTGCATTTTTCAGACCCTTGATGGTTTCAACTTTAGGGACTCAGAGCTATCTGGTGACTGATCCTAGTGTTCAAAATATTCCCTACAGCCTGTAATTCATTTATTCCACCCTAAGCAATAGAATGGCGGGTGTGTTTGAATGAGTATCCTTTTAGAGCCTGTGCTTTGAAACAAGTAGTCACTGAGTTTCAAATCTAACCCTAGATGGGGACTTTCATGTTATAACCTTGCCAGTAAGTTTATGAAGTTGTTTCTTTTTCCATTTCTGTTTAAAAGGAACTTTGTGTTTATTTAAAAATTCTTAGTCACTAAGTGATAGAATGCTTTGCTGTAAATGTTGCTCTTCACTAAATGCCATTTGGGTGGTAAGTGTCTTTTGTTGTATCCAGTGGTCCGCCCTGTCCCCACTTCATCCCCTCTGAGAGCTGCCAACACGTTCTCAGATGGTTCTTACGTCAGCTCAGAGATGCATTTTCTGGATCCCAGTATGGGGCTCATCTTGAGAAGTGGATAGTTACAGGATGTGCTCATTCCCGGGACAGTGCCCCAGGACATGGATCGAGGCTCTGAGCTCCACCCACACTGAACAGGAAGTTTAGGGCAGATGGGAACAGCATATCCCAGGCTTCCTGTCCTGCCTACCCCTTAGGTAGCATGTCTTCCTGCAGGCCATCCTATCTAAAAAGACTTTTCAGAATTGGATGCAGTGGGCAGGTTGTATTTGGAAAATGAATTCCTGAGTTCAGAGATCAAAGTAGTCCATTAGGGAATACTTAGTGACCATGGCTACATACTGAATATGGTCAAATAAGGAAGGACCTGTCCTTGCCATGGAGATGTGGAATGAAGTACCAAATAATCACACACATACACACTTGCCCATATGTGCTGTTGTTGCATGGAGAATGCTGTATGTGACTAGGACAAGTGACTGCTGTTGAGGACAACTTGTGGAAGTAATGACACATCAGATGAAACCTGAAAGATGATGAGTTCTACAAGGAGGATGTCAACTTGTAGGCTCTTGCTCAAGTGAAAAGTAGATACACAGAATTCTGTGTGAGGATGGACTCTGGGAGAGGAATGTGTGGGATTAGGCTCTTTAAGGAGAAAGTAAAGAAGTAACCATCCCCACAGTTCTCTCATTAGGGACAGGCACTGCGTGCAAAGACATAGAGAGAACTTACCAGAAGTTACCAGCTGCAAGTTCTAAAGCTGGCTGTTGTTGCCTCTGTATACGATAGCCAAATTCATTGTAGTTCAAGACTTAAATGATTCTTCTGTTTCCCGAGGAAAGAGAAGTAACAGCAAAAAGGAGGAACTGGTCTGCTATTCCTTTGTTCCAAACCCAGTTCCAGTCCCAGAGCGAACAACATAATATCATGTCTGTACTTAACTCCATGAAGAACTGGCTGAGATTGATCTTAGGAAAAAGAATGTAACTCAACACAAAACGATAACAAAATGGAACATGTCTGTGTTAGGACTTTATTAAGTTGTCAATGATTTCTTAAAGGGCCATTTTGCTTTGGTGATGCATGGAGCATATGGCGGGAAATCCCATTTTTAACAGGAGAGACATCTTTGCTGCAGGGATTCCTGCACTTGTGAGAACCACTCCCCAGCCTGGAGAAACCACATTCTTTCAGATTTGGTGGGCAAGTAATTACAGTGTAGGTAGTAGAGCCTACTTTATGAAAATATCGTTAACACATTTGGAATGAAATGCACCTTTAGATTTTTCTTTTTGCGCATTTTCTTTGACTAACCATAGCAATTAGGACTGTTTTGAAATAGCTCTTAGCCCCTACAAAAACAAAATGCCCTCCCCCACCACCCACCCCTTTGAAAAATGAGCCTGTGAACACTTGGAGGGATGGACGATCAGGTATGGGCTGCAGGGACCTTACTTTGGAGTTGCAGCAGCAATATCAGGCTGTCATAAAAAGGAATTCTCAAGTTCAGCACATGAAAGCTGTTTTATAGACTGAATTTTCATTAAGTCCCCCTTCTTCCCTCAGCTCAGGTTTGTTGTTCGTGGCCCTGCCAGGAGTAGTACCTCTCAGTCTCTGGTATAAGCCAGGCCCCATCAGTGAGCAGAATCCTTCCAAAAGGCCTCCGGCTGGTACCCACTGTCCGGCTCTCTGTCCATGGAGTCTGCACTCAGTAATTCATAACCACAAAGGCCGTCTAGCCTCTGAACACTACAGCTGGGGCAGGACCCTGAGCCTCTCAGGCCATTCCAACCGACAGCAGAAAAACCAGTTCTGTGAGCCCCAAAGTTCCTACTGTGCAGTTGGCCTCTGGGGTTTTGGTTTCAGGTTTGTCTTTTGTTCTCAGAATCTGTTTTCATGAGAAGCAAGAGCACAAACAAAAACAAAAATGGGTTCTTGTGGGAATATTCCCAAACAAGTCTGTTTCTGTCTGGGGTTTGCATCAGCCGTTTGTTTATTTTTTTAAAAATGCCAGTGACTCATCGCCTTTACACGGGAGGGGGAGGATGCTGCCGGAAAAACTAAAGATTGAGTTTTGTTTTTTAAAAAGGACAAAGTACAATATTAGATCACTGATAGAGTTGGGATGGCTTCAGTGGCAAAAGATTCCAGGAAAGTCCTTCTGGAACCAAACTGAGGAAGAATGATGCTTGAGAACACAGTTATTTGCATTTTTATTTTAAAAAAATAAAACCCTCCAGCAACTTTAAGTGACATAAGAATTTTGCTCCTGGCCAGAGTTTGAAGGAGATTATCTTCGCTGAAATCATCCCTTCAGTGGAAACTTGCCACAGAGAAAAATATCAGCGTTACTAACTTTTCTAATCATAGCAACCTCTTCTTAAATAGAAAATGAACACAATGAGAAAACTGGGCTTTCCATCTGGAAAAGGAACCCTCCCAGTCCAATCCCTTCCTGCTCTGTGCCCCGGAAAAGAAAATTCTCTTAGAACCTCCACTTCACTTACAAATACAAAGCATAGATGCTTTCCTTCCTCACTGATATTAAGATTTAATAGATTACAGTTAAGATGAGTATTGTAAGACAGCAGCAAAACCCACACCATTCTGTTTGCTCTTTAGTTATCTGTGAGTGTGTGTGTGTGTGTGTGTGTGTGTGTGTGTGTGTGTGTGTGTGTGTGTGTGTGGGCCAGAGGGTGACATCAGGTGTCTCTCAGGTGTCTTCCTTGGTCCCTCTCCACATTATTTTGAGGCAGGGTCTCTCACTGAACCTGAAGCTCAGTGATTCTGCTTGGCTGACTGACCAGCAAGGCCCAGGAATCTTCCTGTCTCTGCCTTCCTAGCTCTGAGACTACAGATGTACGCCATCACACCTGTGGATGCTGGGGATATGAGCTGAAGTCATCCATGCTTGTGTGGCAAGCTCTTTACTGACTGAACCATCTCTCCAACTCCCCAGTTTGCTCTTGGAAGCCTGTTGTGGCTCATTATTTTGTTTTCAACATTTCCTTTTGAAAGACCTTCATTTTAAGAGATTTTTTGTGAATACAGTGTGTTTTGAATCCATCGTGGTGCGCTACATCACCCTCTCCCTTTTTTTTTCTTGCAAAGATGGCTGCTTCTCAAGGCACATGTGATCACCAGACAGAAGTGTAAAAGTTGAGAAACTTCTCTGGCAGCTGACAGGGTTGATGTTTCATTAACTTGTTGGTTCAGCGTTCAGATGGTTTTGCGAGGCAAAGCTCCCTGTGTTTGGAGGGTCCAGCTTTTTGTTCTTCCTTCCCTCACAGGCTACCGTCATGTTTAATTTAGAATCTGGGCTCCTTTGGCAAATTAGCAATTAGAACAATTTTGTGGGAATATGTATATGTGTCATTAGTTTTCCTGCAAATTAATAGCAAGGGCAGAGGTCAGGCAGAAATTTTCTACTTGACTGCAGCTCTTCTATTGAGACTTGGCACTTGGGTTTGGGATGGCCGCAGCTGCTCCCAGCCACCCTCTTCCTCTAGGAACTGTCTTTTAATTAGTTTACCTCATAGCCATCATTACAAATATTACTGTCTCCCCTCCTTGAAATAAAATGACTGTTTCTACAAAATATTCCAGTGACATCGTGCACCACTGCACATTGATGGTGGGGTCAGTCGAATGCACCATTTAATCATTAGATCACCTCCATCCGCGTCTCCTAATTAGAGTCCTTACAATACATTTTTATCTGGTAATTAGCCAAGATTGGCTGCTTCCTCTGTGGCTTATTAGAGACAGCCCAGCAGTGGGTGTGAAGCAGGGTGTCATTTGTCAAGCCTGGTAAACCCCACTCTTCGGGCTCCGTGTTTATTTCCAGTTGCTACCTACATTTAAAAGCATCCAGAAAATTTGGCCTGCATTGCTGTCTTCCTGGATTGGGCTAGCCTGGAGGGAATCTTCTTTTCCTTTGCCATCTCTGCTAGAAATGCTGCAGTAGTAAGACCTTTGCAAAAGCTGCAAGAGTTGAATTCTTTGCCTGTTTGATGACCTGTCACTCTGTGGGACTCATCTGTTCTTCTCAGATGTGAGCATCCAGAAAGATGGGCTTGTACTTGCTGAACGGTTCCACTGTGTTTTGACTTTTCACGATTAATACAGAGCCCAGTGGACTTGGTGGTACTTCTTCAGAAAGCTCAAAGGGAGCATGTGTGTGTTGTAGGGATTCTTACTCTAATGATTTTTGGTATGTTTCTGAGAAAGTCACGATAATCGGGACAGTGTTCTTAAGCTAAAAGGAAAACTAGGAAGTTGAGTGAGGCCCCAGAGCTGCTGCCTGGGTTTTCTGTGAGATCACGTTTGGCCCTGTCTGCTTTTCCATTATAAGCACTTCAAGGGCAATGGTTCTGTGATTGATTCCCATGTGATAAAAGCTGTTCATTGAATCTTTTCCAAAAATGAGGCATAGCAGATAGGTAGAACTGGTGAAAGTATTGCTTGTAGCCATCAGCTGGGCATAAAAAGACAAAGCAGTGGCGGTACGACCGTACAAGTGCGTGGTCTGGCTTTGGACAAGCCTCATTTTGTAAAGTACAAGTAACTGCATCTTAGATATTTGTGATCGTATGTGAAATAAAGGAAGTAGTAAAGGTCTTACTACTGCAGTGCGTGGTCTGGCTTTGGACAAGCCTCATTTTGTAAAGTACAAGTAACTGCATCTTATATATTTGTGATCGTATGTGAAATAAAGGAAGCCACGGGGGCAGGGGTTTTGTGAGAGTGATTTTAGTAAATGCTATCCGTGACTTTACAGCATCGGAATGGTAAAAAGCTGTGTACTGGTGATCTTTCTACACTAATTTTCTTGACCCCCTACTTTGGCTGATGCTAATATGCAATGTCCCTTTGACTTAGTCACTAGTTTAAGCCTCAGGCAGAGAATGGGTCAGCCTCTGCTCTTTCCCGTTGGCATCTCTCACTGCCCTGTCCCTGGCCTCTACTCTGAACCGTTGGCCCTTGCTTTGTAAATGTATGTCACGGTCAAGTTTCTAGCACTGTTGGGAGGGCAGCCTACCACATCTGCCCTGCTCACTGAGGGTCAGTAAGGGTATGCCGTCTCCCTAGCTTGCTTTTCTTGGGTACCAGAGTCTGTGGTGTGCTGAGTCAACATTTCAAGCTGAAAATAGGAGAGCAGAGCTGAAAACGCACGGCCCAGCATTTAGCTTTTAGCATCAGATTTGCATTTTCCATTAATATTCCTTTAACGATGCTGGGTCTTTCCCTTCTCTTCCCTTGGAACAGGGAGGAGTCTCATGGCCTCTTTTCATTTCTAGCTTGAGAGCAAAGTTGAGTCTTCCCAGTGTTGGAGCTGAGGACTCACTACCTTCCACGAATAATGCCTGTACTTAAGACTGGATCTAACAACGACGAACTAGACATTATGTAACTGAGTTGAAATGTGCTTTGCTCAAGTTTCTTAGATTTTGGAGTGCCTCTGAGTGTTTGACACAGCCACAAACATGGTAAAAACCACCAGGTTCTTCTGCTTTGTTTTCCAGTCAGTTTAGGAGAAGGGTATTTATTCGTGTTGCCCTGTACCACTTCAAATAATATTCACTTCCAGTAGTTGGACTACTAAATTATTTTCATGGGCTTTTGGGAACTTTTCAAAAAGCAAAAGAATGTTAGAATTTGATAGAGTTTAGTGAAGACTGCACGTAAAGCTTCTAAAGATTTGTTTCTGCACACAGGTAGAAATAAATGTCAGCCTACTGGATGAGTGCCACTCTTCACCATGGGTTGATCATGTATGTGCAGTCTGTTAGGTTTTATGATGGACTCGAGTTGCCTGTTCTGTGGCTAGTCTATATGGAACCATTTAGTAAATTCATTGCAATTAAATGAAAGCTAATTTTAAGAAAAAAAAGAAAAAAGCCAGTTGTGGTGATAGGCTACAGAAAGTCAGGTTGGAAGGTCAGGTCTACATCATTGTATCCCAGCTGGGGTTCCTTCGAGCCTCATCCTTCTCAGTGCTGGAGACTCTGTCTCCCTTGTTGAGATTTGCAAAGTGTGTGTGGTATGCTATTTGAGAGAGGAAGAGAGTTTGGGATTATAGAAATGTCTTCACCCAGAATTTCTTAAAACTCTCATGGACAAATAACCCCTTTGGCATCTGTAAACATCCCTTTGCAGCCTTTGAAAATAGCTGTCTCATGGAAAGGGGAGGATTGCAGGAGGTAACCTAAGTCCTAAGTGGATCGTATATAAACACAGATTTGGAGAAGCAACATTCACCAGATGCCCCTGTATCATTCCTGTGGGATGGGATGCTTTCTTGTTGCTGGGTTTGTTGTTGTTTGTTTTGCTCTGGTTGCTCTGTTTTTCTAAAGTTCTCCTAACCAATGTTGTTCTCACAGTTGAATCTGGTATCAAGTGTCACGCTCTCCAAGTCTGCATCGGAGGCTTCTCCACAGAGCTTACCTCATACTCCAACGACCCCGACTGCCCCCCTAACTCCTGTTACCCAAGGCCCCTCTGTCATCACCACCACCAGCATGCACACGGTGGGACCGATCCGTAGGCGGTACTCAGACAAATACAACGTGCCCATTTCTTCAGGTAGCTACTGCATCTTTGCCTGGTACAGCATGATGATCTGTAGTTGTTGTTGATCGGCCCCTTTTAAAAAAGTGATAATTAATAGGACAATGATTCTTATTTAGCAGATATTGCGCAGAACCAAGAATTTTATAAGAATGCAGAAGTTAGACCACCATTTACATACGCATCTTTAATTAGGCAGGTAAGTAAAATAGCACAGTATGTGAAATGCTCTCAAAAGGTATACATGTACATGGATATATTATATTGATGAAGTAGGTTTAAAACCGCTTAGTATGCAAGCATGCTAAAACCTTATAGAAAAGGGTTTTTTTTAAACTGCAATATATAACATAATTGCTTTTGATTAAGTATTACAATACGATGTGATTATTAGGAAATTCATTTCACACAACAGTGAAAATGAGCCTGTTTAAAGATGGCAAGTCAATTATCACAAGCTACAGTAATCTCTGATCCCTAGAATTAATCTGAGCTCTAAATAATTACTGAGCTTTAATCAGCTAGTGAAATGTTTTGCATTTCTCTTTGATTCTACTTTATGAATGACTAATAAATTAATATTTCTGTACGGAAACAGAAATAAAAACTCAAAACAATTAGATAATTCCATTTTGAGTTTTGCTATTGAACTGTTAAATACAACCATTAATCTTAGATCATTTTGTGAAACCTGTCTTAGGAGTTTGCTCTGAATCCTTGTTATTTTGTATTTTCATGGAAACCGTCAGTTGATAATCCTGCCAGTTGGTCATAAATTATCTTCTGATTCTTTCTGCTTCATAGGCCATTCTTGAATCTCCAGAAAAGCAGCTAACACTAAACGAAATCTACAACTGGTTCACACGAATGTTTGCTTACTTCCGACGCAATGCAGCTACGTGGAAGGTAAGCGCTGCTCTCAAAACCTGTTCACTCTTGCACTGAGGCCTTTATAGAGCAGACCTTGTTGTCGATGAAATTTAATTTCCAGGGTACGCAAATATTCCACTTCGCCCAAGAATGTTGATTGGGAGATGTTTATGGTTGAAATGTTCCAGTTGAAGAGTCTTCCCTGGCCGGGAAGTGTGCATGGACCAGCTAGAGAGAAGAAAGGAAAGGACAGTTAGCCTAACACTGAGGCTGTCTTGTTGCTTCCACAAACCTCATGTCATCAGGGGGTTATAGTCATGAACAGGGGTACCATTAGGAACCTGGAGAAATGACCAAATTGAACATGACCTTCATTGGCCAGATCAAAGCTCACCAACTCCATTAGTAGAGGAAGCTGTGTCATCCACGAATTTATACCATAAAAGGGGGCTTCTTGCAGAATGCAGTGTATTATTAAAATTGCCACAGAGGCATTCATGGACATCCTGAGGAAAAAAGGTGGTTTCAGAATTATAGAATATATACACATAAAAATTACAGAATGTCACGTTTGCCATAGACCAGGTCAAATTCCATAACTCAGTTACATGCTCCTTAAAATGCTTAGAGTCACAAGATAGCCCTCATTTTTAGTTTAGGAGTCAGTTCCTAGATTTCACTGGTATTCGTTCTCTTATATTAGAATCATCCCTCCAAGGTGGGCATATGATCCCAGCATTTGGAAGGTAGGAGGATCATGAGGTCAAGGCCAGCCTGGACTACAAGAGATTCTGTCTCAAAAAGCCAAATAAGGTGGAAAAAATAGAAACCTTCGTACAGTTTTGCAGCTTCCCACTTTCAACTTCTTGTTTATAGGTGAATGCTGCCAGGTATATTTTTGCATTTTTACTACCTGGTATTCTTATAATCCCAGAACTCAAACGAGATCTAGTTAGCACCACAGTAATAATTTTTTACATGTCATGAGTTTGAGCACAAGAGGTATTATTACAGGATACAACTTCCTTAATTTTATGTGGGAGAAAAACAAAACATGTTTCTTCCTAAATTTATGATAGATTAGCATTCTATAAAAGTGACTATAGCCAGGCGTGGTGGTGCACCCCTTTAATCCCAGCACTTGGGAGGCAGAGTCAGGTGGATCTCTGTGAGTTCAAGACCAGCCTGGTCTACATAGCAAGTTCCAAGCCAGCTGGAGCTACAGGGAGATACTGTCTCAAAAGGACCAAAAAAAAAAAAGTGAATATAGCCATGGAATTGACAGATCAGGGCTGATGGAACCACTAAAATCTTGGCCTCTTCCCTACAAATGCTTTTATTTTATTTTATTTTATTTTATTTTATTTTATTTTATTTTAAATTGGGAAGCAAAAGCATGATGCAAACATTTTCTTCAATTAGCCTTTTATAAACACCAAATGATCAAATTTAAAAATAATCTCCGGTTGTGACTATAAACTTAAGCTCACATGTCACTTTTTCAGCTGTGCAAAGTAAAGGAAAAGGTGTTGCTGATAATGAACAATGCCCTGTGAAGCAGTTTCTCATCAGTGTAGGTAACATTCTTCAAGAGTCCTTACTGGGACTGTGTGCTAAAAGGCAAGATGAAGTGTCAGTTACACTGAGGACTGAAAGGGCGGTCTCGTCATCTTTTAAATTCTGGGTTTTTAGCTGCTCTCTGCTTCAGTAGGTAGCCCTCAAAAACATAGCCATTCTTTTCTTCAGGAATAGCTTCTTGAGTCTTTCCTTTTTGTATGTTTTAATCCTGTAAAAAGCCAACAGTGAGGGGAAGCAGTGCCACCTTGTTCCTCAGCTCTCTCTCCTACATGTTCACATGATCCCTCTTGATTTTGGAAGGCAGCTATGCTCACCACTATACCACCACCGCCACATTCACCTCGGTCTCCTCCTCAACATCTTACAACTTTCTCCCTGTGCCATAAAAAGAAATTATTTTAAAAAAAGAAAAAAAATTTCCTTAAAAGCTAGGATAAGTTTATATGCAGGTTCTTCCTACCAAATGTAGCTATGACATTCCAAATGTTTTTACAGAGTTTTCCATCTAAAATTTTTTAAATCAAGGATACAGTTATATGGGCATCATGAACCTACCTCCAGTTATACAGCCCCCCCGCCCAAATTCATTTCTGTGTCCTCCCCTTGTGAGCACCAAGCAGTAAAATTCATCCAGTCACTGTCTAAATACTGTATCATAGAGATAAATTGTATATAGCATGAATCCTCATAGTCAAATTCACCAGTTGTCATTGTCCAAAAACTGAAAGATCTTTCAAAGTACCAAGATTTACACAGGAGAAGAGTGTGACTGGTCTGAACAATAGCCTCGCTGCTGGAATTAAACAAGGGTCTCTCTATTTGGTACACAAGGATCAAAAGATGCTTCAATTTCCACTGCCCCCTTGACTCACAGTGTAAGAAAAGAAACCAACCTGCATCTTGTTGTAATATCCTCAAGCCCATTATCAAGTCTGGGTCAGTTAGTTAGCCAGACAGTCTCAAGGGTATCCGGTCAGGGTTGAAGATTTCCTGAAAAGTCAGCTCTTCACACTTGAATTAAGATCCTCCTTTTCGGTACATGTGAAGGATCCCAATTAGCAATGGCCAACGTGATTGCAAGCATAAGACCGCTATAGAAACCATCAACTTCAGGAACAGAGTCATTTTGCCAATGAGAGTCCTAGTTGTGTGGACCTTGGCATTTTTTTAGTTAATTAAGGTCCTCCCTCAGAATAAACATATACCTCTGGAAGGTAAGACATAGCTTGGTGGTTGAAACTGATCCTTTGGGGCTGAGTTCACTCCCCGAATCCTCTCACCTATACAGAGTGATACACTTAATGGTAAAATCCTGTTTAGAATTCTCCTTAATGTTTTAGAGCCAGAAACTGCAGTGTATTAAACATTGTTAACCAAATGCTCATCTTTCGTGTTTGAAAAATAAAGTACCCTTTTATAAATCACACATAAATGGGTTTTGAAAGAATAGCCTTATACATCTTCATATATATGCATGTACGTGTATATAGGATCCTAACAATGTTTTCAGATTTCTGTAGTGGAAACTACTTGGGGCTTGCATGCATATTTGCCAGTATTTCTTCTGGTTAGATGTGACCAGAAAGTAGGCTTAAATGCCAAAGTGCCATTAATTTATCATTTGGGGGTTTTGATTGGGAAAGACACCCTCAGGTACGAGAAGGCTTGGGGGATGGTTTTACAAATGGGAGCTGAATGTACTGCTGTTTTTAGAGTCTTTTCTTATAGAAAAATGTAAATGTTCTCTCTTTTATACTTGCTGCAGAATGCAGTGCGTCATAATCTTAGTCTTCACAAGTGTTTTGTGCGAGTAGAAAACGTTAAAGGGGCAGTATGGACAGTGGATGAAGTAGAATTCCAAAAACGAAGGCCACAAAAGATCAGTGGGTACGTCCACCATGTTTGAACTTCATAGCCTAGCTTGGATTGTGCTAACAAGTATAACGTAGAGGCTTTGGCTGCTAGACGGTGTTAGACCAAAGAACTGGTTTCACGTTGTCTCAGTTAAGGGAAGCAAAAAAGCATTTCATCCCTCCTGTTTCGTATACCCACCAGTCCCCCTGCCCTGCTTGCTGGTCTCTGTTACATCACATGCTAGTAGCTTTTAGGTGGCGATGCATATTAACCCTCACAAACCATTTGCTTATGCTTATTGCATTTTATTTTCTTTCTCCTGTTCCCTGTATTGGATGTCTGTTCCACCCCCTACCCCGTCTCCTTTTGTTGCCACTCCATCTCCTTTGCTGCTGCTCCTATCCCAGGGTGCCATTCGCACCAACCTCTCACTGCATAAGTGCTTTATCAGAGTAGAGGATGAGTTTGGGTCCTTTTGGACAGTTGATGATGAAGAGTTTATACGTGGCCGCCATATTCAACGAGGCCGTCCTCGCAAATACTGCCCCGATGAAAACTTTGACGAGCTTGTCACACAGTAAGAGTCTTTACTTGCCTTTGTTTTTTGTTTCTGCTGTTGCTTTGGCTTTGCATGGTTGACTCATCCCATGTAGTATGGCATTTCACCCAAGAGCAGTGCCACAGCTTTGTGCAACGAAAATGAAGCGGTGTGAATTTGTACATGTACTTCTCTCGTTTCTCTTTGGAACGCCAGTACCTGGAATAATGCTTTTTTGACGTCTTTAATGCAAACTACTGATTGTATTTTGATTCAGCAGCTTACATGCGGGGACCCTCTAAATTAGATATTTGGTGTATGGCCCACAGTCCCTCAAAGTGAAAAAGAAATGATGGTTACAACGTACATCTGTTGGGATAATTTTTCTGTTTGATCACTTAATGTAAAAAGAACGAACAATTAAAATGTTCCAAGCAAGCGAGGCATGTTGGTGCACATGTCCATAATGCCAACCCTTGGGAGGCTGAAGCAGGAGGATTGCAAGTTCCAGGACAGCCTGGGCTTCATAGGGAGACCCTGTCTCAAAAATCCAAAATCAAATTGTCCCAAGCACATGGGAAAAAACTGGTATGTCATATGGGCAGCACTTATTTAAAGTCTATTGATAAATGTACATCATTTCCTGCTGGAAACCCTGCACCCCCTCGATATGGCCTAAGTAATTTGTTAGTGTTTTTAGTTCTTACTAGATCGGTGAATTTTTTTTTTTTTTTTTTTTTTTTTAAAAAAAAAAAAAAAAAAAAAAAAAAAAAGAGGACGATAAATCTTTCACTGTGATATATCAAAATAA